AGAGAGGTGTTGCTGTTAATTGGGCCTCAGGAGAAATTTAAAAATCACTTCTGTCGTTAGTTGCCACCAGTAAACTATTGCAGTGAACACTGCAGTGTAGTTATAACAGAAAGAAAATGCTTCAGGTCATTTCAAGCTGTGAATCCGATATGTAACATTATTTAGTTTTTTTTTCTAATGGAAAATACTGGCAGGTTGCTAACAAAATTTGGGGAAAAGTCAAATGTGCTAAACATAACAGATGTGCATGTTATCCTAAATTCCCATAACCCTTTGATGCACTAGTTTACAATAGAGCTGTTATTCAAGCTGTTGACAAATAGGTATAATTCACATAATCCTCTTATCTTGCAATTGTATCGTGCACTGTACACTGACATTAACATTAGTATTCAATATTATTACTAGGTGTGTGTATAGAGCCTGTATGCATGAATGCAGTTACTAAAACCACGGTTGGCTTTTAATCTGCCAGCATTATGAATGAACATTGTGTTTTGAATATCAAGTGTGTCAGGAAGTATCGTGCAAAATTCTTTGCTTTGAGAATATTCAGAGTGACAAGCTGGCACTAGAACAGGCATAGAGAAAGCAAAGGCTGTCAGTACTAAAAGCTTCAAAGTAAATCAGTAATATAAATGATTATTGATGTCATTCTGTCAAGGCCACCACCAACTCCGGCCATTCTAAAAAGCCTCCCTCTGGCTAATCAAGTTGAACACTCCTGGTCTGTTGCTTTCAAGTGCTGCAGCAGCGATGGACGTTTGGAGCAGCCTCTGTCAATTTGGTTGGTTCAGGCTTCAATACACAGCACAGAGGACTTCTGTCCTCCAGTCTTATATTTCATGCAGGTCTACATTCCCCAGCATCCTCTGTTGTCCCAGCCAATCCCTATCCACATCAGCATTAAGGCATCAGCATCAGTATGGTTTACTGTCTAGGACTGAAGACAACTTTAACAAAAGGAGGCATTCCATGTATTTTATGACCTTTTTATTTAAGTCATTTTAAGTATTTAAATTAAAACAATAGTTTGATGTTTTAGGAAATGCAGTTGTTTGCTCTCTTGCCAGGAGTTAGATGAGAAGATCTACTCTCATGTCCGTTACATGCAGCCAGTTAACTTTGCGTAACACAGAGACAGGAAATGGGGAAACAACTAGCCTGGCTCCAAAATCCACCTACCAGCAACTCTAAAGCTTATTAATTAACAGATTATATCTTGTTTGTTTAACCTGTACTAAAAATTGAAGTTTAAGAACGACAATTTTCTGTTTCATGAGGGGTTGTGTGCCAGACCTTTCTTGGCTCTCAACAGTTGCCAGGCAACCAGCAGAGATTCCAGGAAGTTAGTGCTCAGAGCCAAGAAACAGTCCAGCACATAACATAAAATGGCAAACTTCTGGTTCTGTATGGATTAAACAAACAAGATGTAACCTGTTACTGAGGGAGCTTTACATATGCTGGTACTAGCCGGGCTAGCTGTTTCCCCTGGGAGCTAAGCTACGCTAACTGGCTGCTGGCTGTCGTCACACCAAGAGAGACCGATGTGAGAAGGGTATCAATCTTCTTTTAAACGTATTTCCCTAAATGTCAAATTATTTCTTTTTAAATTGTGTCTGTTAAAACAAGACAAAGATGTCAAAACATAGTAGTACTGAAGAGTTATATTTGTGTGTGTGTGTGTGTGTGTGTGTGTGTGTGTGTGTGTGTGTTGGAAAAAATCAAATGTATAGCTGAAATGCGTAAGGTGAGAGATGGCCTCTGGTTAGGAGAAAGTGATGCCGCAGAGACACACCTGCTTACATATCTTTTCCATCTAATTAGATGTACAAACAGATTCTGACGTCCTTCCTCATCCTTGTCCTCCTTCATTGTGTCCTTGCTTGTTTGGGTGTCTCATTCTGAATTTTAATGTGTTCTCCAGGCGACTCTCCAGTTCTGCGTTGTCAAACCCATCATGGCAGTCATCACCATCATCCTGCAGGCCTTTGGCAAATATCATGATGGAGATTTTAAGTGAGCAGCACCATTTTTTTCCATTTCATTCTTTATGTATCTTACATATCCATGTCACAGCCAGCAGGCTTGGTTTGCTGTTTATGTGCACATGGAAACAATTTGCAAAGGGAGATAATTATATCACCTCTTCACAGTTGGCATGATGAAAATGTTCAGAATTAAAGGCTTTCATTTCAGTCAGAGTGCTGGGTTCAAACTTTCCTGTGAGAGTGTGCAGGTACTCTACTGCATGTTGTCCCAGTTGTGTCACTATCGTAGCCATAATCACAGCCTCTTGAGTATTGTTGGTATTGCAAAGAATAATTCACGGATTTTTGAAATATAGACTGAAGACATTATTTCTTTTTTATATTAAGTTTTCCCAAAAAATAGTAAGTGTTCTGAAATGAAGACCCTTAATTCTTATTTTATGTTCCATTCATTGAAGCTCAATGTTGCAAGGGGAAAATGCATTGTTTCATTTAATACTTTTATTTTGGATGTCAAGTGATACAAAGGCGGGGATAAATTGCAGACAGATTTAATTTTAGTGTATTTTCAGTCGTACCAGATGAGCCAATAAGGGTCTCAACAGAATATGGAGAGGGTAATACATTCAATAAAAATGTATTTTGTATGTAATCAAAAGCTATAAAATCTGCAGCCCATAAACTCTGCCTGGCTTATTTTCAGGTGCTCTTGTCTGCCTCTCAGTACAGTGTCTCTTTCTGAAGGTTCAGCTGTGACAACACTTGTTTCTAAACTACTCAGAAGGAACACAAAGTTCAACAAGGGTTTCAGACAGAAGTCTCCAGTCAGCATCATATCATCACCCTCTTACTGTTGAGCTAAAATATAGACATCATTAAATTATTCCTGCTTATTTCTTCATATACTTAAACAGCAAAATTAGCAGGCAGAAATAACTGTCTTTTTTTCATGTCTTTCTTTAAGCTCTGTAGCAAGACCATGATGATTCACAGATTGTTTACTTATACGCTTTCAGCCAGCCGTGCACTCTATACTGCATGGGAGTAATTAGTGTAGTCACAGCTGAGTCTTCAGGGAGGCTCTCCAGAATGCAAAGAGGGTATAAAGGCAGTCTGACAATGAAATATAGACAAATAGGCCTGTTTATCGATGCATCCTGAAATAAAAAAGGGCATGTACAAACAGGCTTTATTAACTACTTCAAGGAAGAGGGCAAAAAGGCTGTTTCCAGCTGTTTTTGCAATAGAGTATGCCTGAAAATGTCATCAAATTTAAGCTGTAAGTCTTTTACATTCATCACAAAGTAATAAGTGGATTCAAAACATGAACAAATTTATCACAAATGGAAAAATATGTAACTATGTGGCTTTTCCTACTTTGTTTCTTTACAGCATAAATGGAGGATACCTGTATATCACAATCATCTACAACTTCTCAGTCAGCCTGTCTCTCTACGCTCTCTTCCTCTTCTTCTTCGCAACAAGTGACCTGCTCAGGCCGTATGAACCAGTGCTCAAATTCCTCACAATCAAATCTGTGATTTTCTTATCCTTCTGGCAAGGTAAGTTAACCCCCTCTACTTCTTTTTGTTGTATCAGTATCAGTACATAGAAGTATAAATTGCTGATAAAATTGTTGCCTGTTTATAGGAATGGTGCTCGCTATCCTGGAGCGATGCGGTGTCATACCCAATGCACTCTTCATCGATGGACAAGAGGTCGGCGCTGGCACCGTGGCGGCAGGCTGGCAGAACTTTATCATCTGCATTGAAATGTTTTTTGCTGCTATTGCCCTCCGATATGCCTTCACCTGCACCGTCTACCAGGAGAAAAAAAATGAAGTGCCAGGTGAGCTGTAGTCTGCACAGAGAGCTGGCCTAAGCTGCTGAACTGATCATTACCTCTTGTCCTCGCCTTGAAAATATGTTGACGTGTTCCAAGGCTAATTGCCCTTCTCCCCCCACAGAATAAGGACTGACACAGGTTTGAAAGTGTTATCGGTAATAGTAATTGCATAGCTTCGTGCCTTTTGGAGCCATTTAGCTCAGTCAGACTGACTTTTAAAGTTACATTTCACATTCAATCCCTCAATTTTAACTGATACGTCTGCATATTTCCACATTTATGCTTATATTAAATGTAGTGCTGTTGTTATTACAGTGTTGGAAGTCAGCAGGGGCTTCCATTGGCCTAAGGGCACACTCAGAGGGTAGTTGCAAGTAATGTAGGAGAAGATGAAGAGGAATTCAAAGCCACAGTACAGTAACTAGCAGAGAGCGAACAGCACCCCTTTGACGTCAATGCTGCCTGCAAGTAAAAGACAAATGGAAGCCATGGGAAAAGCCGTCCACAGCAATATCAATCATTTTGCCATTTTTTCCTGCTATAGGAAACCCTCTGTCCCCTTGAGCTGCTTAACATGCAGATGCACTGGAAGTGATGAAAAAGAAGATAATGGGATGAAATTAATGGTTTTCATTCTCACCCATTTTTACTGTCCACATTCATCTTCATCCCCCCCCCCCCCCCCCCC